TTTTTAAAACTGTACTACATGAATAATTTTCTGAAATTTCCCAAAATTTTCATTTTCTGACCACTTTACTCCTGAACATATCTCGCCTGGTCTATGACATGTAAAGGCGAGGACAAGTAGGCCACTGTGCTAAATGAACTGACCACAAAACCTACTTTTGCCTATCACCTATAAAAAAGTGGCTCATATGCCCAACGGTCACATGAACCACGAAAAGCCTTAGAGTATTCTGATACGAGGGGTGTTCAAAAAGTTCTTGAAACTAATATTTTATTCACAGCATACACGGTATTTTCAAAATGTTAATATTGCAGTCCGGCTTTGGGTATCCTCCGCTGCTCTAAATAAACAGCTTTGGACAGACCTTGGATAAGACTGAAATGTCGTCCAGCCACCTATTCAACGAGAAAACAACCAGAAGTCACGGGGGCCTAGATCTGAGCTATGCAATCTACAGCCCAGATCTAGCCCAATGTTACTTCTGACTTCTCGCAAAAGGTATCAGGACTTATGCTGTTTCCTTTGGGATCTACAGGTCTGTTCTGACGAGAAAAATTCCGTTGTCTTTGGATTGCATTCCTACCTTCCTCCTGGGCAGCGGAGAATGGGTATGTTACGGATGACGAGACCAAAATGCGTTAAATGGAAGACCCAAAATTCATAATAACATTCATGCATTTTTGGGCGTGGGAGAATGTGTCTTCCATGTGGTGCATATGCCTCACTCGGATACGGATTCTTCCCCGCCAAAAATGTACAAGGGTATTCTTTGCGTAAGGTGGATAGGAGCATCATGATAGGAAATATATATCACCACATACCTTGCAATTCCTTGGCGAGGGCTACATGACCATTTTCATGCAGGATCTCAATGAACTCTGGGAGATTTCTTGAATTTACACATTGCGTTAGGCACGCGATTTTTTGCTGCCCTCTCTTCAATTGGATGCCTTGGAGTGCATGGTGGTCAATTATTCCCTTTTGTCTCATTGTCATCGCGATATTATCAACGATGGGCTGCATGTCTTCTGCATGAAGAGCGATGAAGCTGGCAAGGTTACGCATGGCTTCCTTCTAAAGAGAATGTATCCACTCGATTTGAAGATTTGGAGTCTACTCCAATACGGAAGGACGTATTCATGAGATCATTTCTTCGGAATAGCCTCAACCATCACGTTCCAAAAGAAGCCATTGGCAATTGCATTCATCAACGCATACAACTGCATATGGCAACATAAATTACTGCATCTATAATATTTCCTCTGAAAGGACGCTAACAGATTTTATGATGGGATATGATTTGTGAGATCACTGAAAAATGAACAACAAAGAAGGAAATGAGTATTCAAGCGCACAACATCAAAATTCTAAGCATATCCACTAATATAAGGTGATCCTGATTAAATGATGAATTCCTTTAAATGGCAGCTTCGGTCACCATCAATTAACGTAAGAGGAAAATTACTTAATTATTGAAATTATTTAAATGATATAAGCACAATTTAAATGTTGAGGAGCTTCGTGTGGAATAATGCGTTTCATGCAATCCAGTATTCCATTTAGTAGGTAGTTTTAGGATGTGAGCGTATTTCTTTCTAAGAGCGGCGATTTGGCCGAAACAGCTTTCTCGCCAAATGTGTAATACGCATGGAACATCTCTACTAAGCGGTCTTTCTTTGACACTGAGGCCCATTGCTAAAAGTTGCAAATATCATAAAAGAGCTGTTACATTTTATCCTATGCCTCTCAGAGCAAGTAACGAAGATTCAAATACTATTTTTGACCCTTTGGACAATGTTAGGTCTTGCAGCTGCTGAGGTTCTTAGAAAAAGAGGTTCTTTCACTCTGCAAACATATTGCTATATCAAACAATGTTTTCCTATACTATGCAGCTGTCAAATGAACGAAAAAAGGCTTTAGGACTTTTCAACATACTTCGCCCAATTTTGGGAGTATGTCGTCATTGTGGAAAAGCGACTTTGAGTGAAGGTGTCAAGCATGAGATAAGACCAAAAACAATCACAGATCATCTCGACGGTCTCAGCTTCCATGAAAAACTAATAATATAGGAAAAAGTCCGGGCTCCCTAGAATGCCCTCGTAAGAACATATAAATATCAGGCAATTTGAGAAGTAATGACGAAGTCAGAAATGTTCAATACTTTGTAATGTCATTTGTTAAGCCTAACTGAGAGTTGCAAATTATGATCAAACTAAGAAACCATTTTCATCTTCGTGGAAGAAGCGACATAGCGCACCTGCATGGACGTCCCTATGGGAACGTAGGGATCAAGTGACTCAATTCCCCAAGGCTAGTGATCGATTTAATCAAAGCCAACTGCCAGAACTAATATTTCTTGGCGGTGCAGAGCGCCGTTGGAATTTCCATGCACCGTAAAATGTTAGGCTTTAGTTAGAAAATATGCCAAAGTCTTCATTTCATTCCACTAAGTTTCCTGTTCTAATCTGTTTCATTCAGAACAGCGATTATGAGCGTGTGGGAAAGGATGGAGAGCGCATGATTTGGACAAATTCACCTTGATCAGCAGCAGACTAAATAACCATTCAATTTATCATAGGTTCTTACAATGAAAAATTCTCTTGCTCACTAAGGCGGCAGCAGAAGCTAAAAGTTGTGGGCTTTTTCTCCTAAAACAAAAGATGCGCCACAATACAAGCAGGCACGAGGCTCGTTATGGTGTGCTGGGGCTCAAGATTGCTGCCACAAAACAATTGAGGAAAGGTTTTCGAATAGGGCAGATGCAGGCCGCTGTATTGGAACATGTAAATCGTGAGATGCTTGCTAGGAATCCACTCAATCAGCCTAACTACGATTGGTTCTGGTCAAGTAATGCACCAACACAACAGAGTTACATTACTAAGAATAGCAATATGGAACACTAGTTTTAAAAGCTGGAGTTCGTCGTTTCCCATAGAAAATTCTGTTTATCATGTAAGCGGACGTTATCATGCATTGTGATATGGCAATTTACTGAAGTTTTCTTACATTCATGTTCAAGAATGAAAAGGTATTAATTGTATCTAGAACCAGTTTTTCGAGCTTGATCTTAACCGGAAGCAAGAAAACATGCGATTGTCCATTTATGAATGAGCATCAATATGGCATGCCGTATAGGCTCATCACCAAGGAGTACCAGTTGCACAGGATAGTCCTGCACCCATTCCGATTGGTGGAGGGCCTGGCATAAGCAGCAGTATTTCTATTTGACAACCCGTATTTGTTCTAAGGTGTTCATTCAGAGCATATATTATCGTAATGGCGCTGTCATTAAAATCATGGCCCTGAATAACATAAAACTGCTAAATCACACCAATATGACAAAAAAGGTTACGAGCGAGAGTAATACCATGAGAAAACAACAGGGGCAATGGATATTCCTCCATAGCACATTCTCCGATAAATTTTCGCAGCTATTAACTCAGAGAAGATATGTGAGCTATCACACTCATTCAGAATGCACCAGCAACGAGAGGTCGTAATTAGGGAGAGAGAGAGCGTGGTGGGGGAGGACAGAAAAATATACAAAATTAGTTCCCTGTCATTCACATACCACAGATAAAACGTTTCTTTAATCAATACGAAATGAATGTATTATTGTACAGAAAAACTCATCAACATTAAACTACTTCATGCACAATAAAACCATTTATTGATCGTCACATGCATATCACTGAATCTAGAAGCGTCACAAAACAATTTTTCAAGACGACACCATTTCAGTGTGATATTCCACGTTCCGAAACATCTAAAGTGTTATATATAATATAATATAGACGTTGAATATCTTAGGTACGATTGATTGTTTATGTGATGGGCTGTCCAAGGGGTTGGAATTAGTTTCTCAAAGGAATTCATAATCTAAATTAACTCTTCGACTTTTTTTAGGCGGATCATTAATAGGAAAGCATCTGACGGAGAACTATTTCAAGGTGTTCTGGACAGCATTTATTGTAGCAAATTTCTTTAAACTAAAACTATTTTCGTGAGTTCATTAAATTTATCCACCATGATAGGAAAAGTTATTGACTCAGTGTAATTCCAATTCAGAGAACGTTTATGATTTTAACTGCAATTTTGACAAACTTGAAGGTAGAATGATTAATGGAATGTGTCCTTCTCTAAGAATCTGGTGATGTCGAAGGAATTCGCGTAAAAATCACTATTATCACAGTGGGAGATTATCGTTTCAATCAATTTCAGAAGTTGCTCTCTATCCTAATTTTTAAGGTACGAAAAATCATTCTTATTAATGTTCTTACACCCAGTATCACCAAATAGTCATATAAAAAAGGTGAACGTTATACAGGGTTTTTCAAAAGTCACGCAACGCAATATATGTAACATTTTCTTGAGTAACTTACATTGAGTATCTAATCAAAACTGGCTGAATATTGAAGGAGCACATCTCATCTATGAATAAATGTGTAATAGCAAGTGTTGGAAGTGACCATCGCCTTCCTGCAAGCACTTTGCGACATGCTTGCGCATGTTTGTGGAAACATGACGCAAGGTCGCACGAGTAATGCCGGGAATGGCCAGTGCAGTGTCTTGCTTCAAAGTGTCCAAATCTCTGGGATTGTTAGAATATACTCTTTCCTTTAGGTACCCCCCAGGAAATAGTCAGGTGATGTCAAGTCTGGAGACCGTGGTGGGCAAAGATTCTTGCCTATCGTGCTCCCCAAATAATTCATTGAGCAACTCCATTGTTGAATTCGCGGTATGAGCGGTTGCTCCATCTTGCTGAAATCACGAATCACGTTCGCCAATCTCCAACATGGCGATAAATTGCTGAATGATGTCATGATAACTTTCAGCATTTACAGGTTGTGTGAAAAATAAGGGGCCAACAATACGCTGTCGCGAGTTGGCACGCCAAACACCAATCTTCGGTGAGTGGAGTGGTTCTTCATGCAAAACTTAAGGGTTCTCAGCAGCCAATATCCTTGAATTCTGGCTATTTACGTAACCACTCAAATAAAACCAAACTTCATTCGAGAAAAACATTGTCTAAAATTCCAGGCTGGTTATGAGTAAACCTTTGAAACCAACGACAGTAGTGCATTCTTTTTTCCTTGTCTGGGTTTTTCAACTCTTGAACAACCTTCACTCGGTATGCATGAAAGTGTAGACGTTTTGCGCATCTATGCAGTGTCGTTACGTAAATGCCAGTCCCATGTGACATTCTGCTGAGAGATTTTCTTAGTGATCTTGTCATTCGCTGTTGCACGCCATCAAGAATAGCTTTCGTTAACACAGATGGACGTCCACTCCTTTTCTTGTCTGCCACACTGCCTGTGTCACGAATACGCAGCACTGACAGTAGAATTGTGCTTTTATTCAAGGCTTGCATATCGTGAAATTTATGTCTGAACTCCTCTTGGCACCGCTTAAAAGATTTTGTAGCAAAATAAGGCCTCCACAATGAAAACACGCTGCAGCTTCGTGAAGGACATGTTTATAACTACAGTTTCTTGCAACTGGGGCTTCGCAATAAAACTGGTTCAAATCATTTGTACGCATGCAGAGTTGCCAACCCACGCACTAAACTCCTCACTCAATTCCATATCCACTTTAAACTCTAACTAATGTGTAGATATTACAGCGAAATATACAACAGCACTTGTTTATATGGAGGGTTGCGCGAATTTTCAAAGACCCTGTATAATGGAGCAATTTTCTTTTGGCATGAACATCATGATGATCATGAGGGGTTATGCGTACGGATTGGCCTTTTCCAGCGCATTTCAGAGACTCAAAATTATGAGTGTCTAAGTTTTTTCCTTTGAAGAAAATAAATTAGTGAGCTTCTTGAAAAGTTTCCGCATGGGTTTCTTTTTGAATTCTCCTTCATTTGGCTCATCCGTGTCGAACATAGTAATATCCCACTCCATATCATTCGGATCATAACTTTCCAGGACGGCTTTGGCAACTTCCGATTTTCTACGTGCCTCTTCCAGATACTTGATTCTTTGGGAATGCCCAGGCTGTTCTTCTTGAAACTCCTTGCGGATCAGCATTTCAATATAATTAGTGATCTCAATAGGATTGGGCCTAAGAGCTATTTCATCAATTCGGTGCATGCTTGCATGTGCTTCTTTGATTAGCTCTTGAAATTTCCCCATCTCTCGTTTGAAACCTTCAGACAACACCGTCAGGAGGTGATCATCATCCGGCGTCCTGACATGCGGAGGTAAACTTATTTCTGGGGGGAGTGCAGAGGCAGCGTTTTCATATTCCGATTCATTTTCATCAGACGATAAGGAGCTTGCATTTGATCGTTCTTCCTCTGGGCGCTGCCCTACTTCTCTGGCTCCCATCCAGCCAGTCAGCCATTCCCCTCCGTGTTGTCTCACTGATGCGTGCCCTTTCCTCAGTAGTTCCATCCTTTCCAAAGCTGAAAGCATAATTACGACAGAAAGTAAAACAAATTGCAAATACTGCATACGCACATAATTTGATAATTTTAGGGGTTCTCACTGGTGTCTAATTGTGACTTGATATCCTGTAGCACCCTCTCCAATCGTCCCCTCTCTTGTAAAACCTCTTTCGAGAGAGTTAAGCTTGCGGGCCGTGTCCCTTTAAACGCATGGAAGAAGTTAGTAAAGCTCTTGGTACACATTATCCAGGCCAATTCGTCAAAGTCTTCATGATCGCCTTCTTTTCGAGCAAAGAGAGCGGAGCTGTTAAATTTGAATACTTGTTTCGAGGGAATATTTGCTTCTTTGATGGCGCTCAGGACTTGAGGCTCTTGGTTATCCGCGAAAGTAGCCAACAGGAATATATTGTCTTTCACGTCGTTTCCAAACAATGACAATAGGCATTGGAATATATACTCTTGGGTGGGTGTTAGCCTTGCTTGGGAAGAAGGAACTACAAAACCAACTCCATCAAGTTGGTCGACTCCAAAATATCCTCCATGTGAGAAGAACTGTTCGATCTGATTCTTCAACTCGTCATCTCTTTTCATCCCTTTTGTGTCGCCAAACCCGGGTGTATCGACCAGAGTCAATGTGTAAGGAAACGCCATTCCTAGCTGCTTGTGCAGGACGTATGCCGAGACCCACTTTGTCTGACTCTGAGCTTGATTCTTTCCATTCCCCTCGTCTCCTATCAACTTGAAGCGGAAATCGTCGTTCCACGTCACTCCGTAAGCGTAGTTCACCATCCCGTTAATAAGGGTACTCTTTCCTGCAAATGAAAGGCGTTCCTCATCATTTTCTGGAAATTATACCGCCTACAGCAGATAGAACATTCGCAGTACCCGCTCCTGTAGCTCCGACGAGCATGAGAACCTTTCCAATTCCATCGTCTGGTCCCCTCTCGCCAATCTCCTGCTTCCGCACTAGACTCTTGAAATCCATGTCGGTTCTCTTTGGTTCAAGTTCATATATGTAGCCATCCCTTGTCTTACAAAGAGCCTTCACTTTCAGAGCTAATCGGATCTCCTTTTTCGCTATTCCGAAACCCTAAAGGCCAAAGTGAAGAGACACAGCGGGATTCGCATTTTGAACAAATAATGTCCGCACTGAAAAAAATTCTTGAAAGTATAAGCATACCCCCTCCTCATATTGTTAAACGCCATCAATAAAAATTAAATAAATAAGCGTAGTAGCGCTAATTTGCGTTATTCTCTTTGGTCATAGATATTATGCTTTTGTTGTAAGAGTCGGTAACACAAGATTCATAATTTAGTAAAATAATAGGCTTGTTGGACTTAAATACTTTATTTCCAATGAAATTTAATGTTTTTTTCGATACCACCACAGTTTAAAAAATTGAACACAAAATATTTATAATAATGCTAATACGTTTATTTAAATGCACTTACTATGAGTATAACCAAAGCGTGCGTTTCTGGAGCTTCTAACTTTGGAGGCACAAATCAGCCATTTCATATCGCTGACGTAACAGTTCCGTAAAGCTGTACCTGATTTTGTGAAACATGACACGAACTTTCTTCGAAGCAAAGCATAATCCCTAAACCATGTAAATATCCAGCTCGCATTGCTTCAATATGGTAATCATACCTTAACTTCATTGGTTTGTTATATATATATGAAAGGAGTATCCCTTCGAGATAACTTAATCAGGACAACCCAGGTGCTGGGAGCGATAGCCGACAACCACAGACACCTAGGCTTATTATATTAGTGAGAGAGTCATGCCGATCAAGCTAAACCTATAGCCAGCACGATCTATAAGAATGAGAAGAAGACCGCCCTCCTCGTAGATGTGAGCATCTCAGCTGATAATAACCTCCAAGAGAAGACCTGGGAAAATCTAGAGAAATACTCCGACGGGAGTTTAGGGGTGTGGCGCTCTTTTGCTCAAAAATAGCGCAAATGAGCGCCACACACCTATATTGGTATCTTTTTCGGAAATCCCCCCGGAGCCAAATTAGGCAAGAAGAAAATGAAAGAGTTTAGCTGAAAGGTTGTCGATTGAAGTAAAACCACAGCTTAAGTCATTTTCAAAATCACCACAAATGCACACTCAACCAGCGCAAAGTGTCCCGTGAAAAAGGAATCGAGGATGACAGCTATGAAGAAATTCGACTCTAACGGGATCCGTGCCCGAAAGTTCTATCCACAATCCATGGCTAGATGAGGAAAGAGTGGAGAAGGAAAAATTACAATAAAACTGGGAGAATTCGCTGGGCAAATTGAATCATGTGTCGCCATCTGTCGAATCCAAGTGTTGCTCTGGCTCTGGATTTCGGGCGATTTCCCTATTCTAACGAGGAGATGCCACACTACTCAGATTTTTTCGTGGGAGAATAGTTTTTTCTGCCAAAATTTAAATTTCCTGCTTAACTTCCCGGCAAATTGGATTGAAAAAATTTTAAATTTCGTTTTATGTTTAAAATCAAAAGTCGGCGCTTCTATCTCAGGCTGTAGGAGGGATGAAATGAATGGAGTGGGTCGGGTATCGGTCGGGTACCCTTTTGTGCACTTGAGCATTTTCCAACACGAAAATGGATTCATTGTCCGGTCCGATTACGACACTAAGTTGATCCAAAAACTCGCAACACGTGTGACACCTGCCACCATTGTCCGGTGGTGGAAAAGTCCATGAGAAGGGGATATTGCAGCCACAACAGGGAAATTCGCCCCTCTTTGCGTGTCCATTTGAAACACACCTCTCTCGCCGATGACAGACCACCCCATCGTCCTTGACGGCCGGAGATTCATGCCAGTCTCGTCGATGAAAACCAGTTCTTCGTTCTGCAGGTCTGCTATAAATTCCGAAACGTACTCTTGACGTGCGTGTAATGTACGATCGGAGTCGGCGGCGATCGTCTGCTTCCGAATTTGCTCCGAGAGACAGACCAGGCTTCCCCAAGTAGCAAGGGATCATCCCCGAGACATCCCATTTGGATCCTACGTGGGACAAAATGACATCCCATGGATGCCCATGGATCCCATGGAAATAATCGAACGCTTGATGGAAACAGGAAATGGGAGACGACGAGCGACTCACGTCGCATTTCCTCAGAATCTCCTGTTCGTTGGGACTTTCGCCACCACTCTTGGGCTGTTGACTTCTTTACTTGCAAAAGTTGATGAACCTGACGAGCTGACAAAACGAAACTTCCATTCAGTCTTGCACTAATGGGCAAGCTCCTCTTCGCATCTCTCTCTCGCAGTTGCGCCATCGTCAAGGAATCGAGAATGGAATCGAAACTGGCATGTGCTTTCAGACGCCAGACAAAAGACAAACCGAACGCTCCTAGACGGGTCCGAATGTCGACCGCCGAATCTGTTCTGCTCTCCCTCGGCTCATCGCCTGGCCCGTGCGCTCTCTCTATTTCCATCATTTCGACAGCGGGAGCATGCTCCAAGCGTGCGCCAAGGTCAGGTCGCCCCAGGCGAATCATCCACTGGAATTCATTCTGCTTCAAAGCGATGCATACACTTATTTATGGCACTTTCCCGTATTCCCGAAAGGTTTGTTCCTGTAAAGTTCTTGCAGCTCACGACCTGATAGTTTTTCTGTTTCCACAGAAACCAAATTCCATCTCGTCGGACCCGATCATCTTCTTACATAGTGGTAAAATGTAGGTCTACTTAAAAATGCAATGTCTTTGCAACGGGAAGGAGCAGTTACACGATCATTCCTACGTTAGCACCATGAGACAACAATATGAACACGATGATGAGACCGTTGCTGAAAGATCACATGATCACATGCAAAGAAAATATTCACATTTGTTCTGGAACTTTTGGGATGACCCACGTACTACTTGTATCATACCATGTGGGTACTTTTCGTGAGTTTATGGAACCAACATTCAATCTCAGCAGCTATTTAAAGCTCTTTCAGACTCTGAATGAGGGAGGAGGTTTTATAAATGTGCGATGACAATGCAACATTGAAACAACTTTGCACAGCATAAACAGCATAAACTGAAAAGAAGCCAGTTACTCACTTTCGTAAAACCCTCGAACAACTACCTTCAACGAACGAAAATAGGGAGCCTGCCTATAAGATCAATTATAAACCATCTCTAAAAATATCCTAATATACCATTTTCCTATTTTCCCGTCAATTAACTCTCACAACACAATCATTTCATCCATGCGCCCCATTCCCAACAAACATGGTTTACATTGGTAGCAAAAAGTGTTCAGGGTATATCTTTTACGGGGTTAATTAGAAAAAGAGTTAAATGCTGGTACAACACTATCTCAAAGGGTTATCGACAGGGACAAGGGCGCCTTTTACCTTTCTGCAACCCCTTCCGGCGACAAAATTCAACCGTCTCGTATGCCTCTTGATCATAGTCTTCAATAGAGCATCAACAGGAGCGAAATTCGGCATACTTCTTTCTCTCTGACCACACAGAGTCGCTCCAGAAAATTTGAAGCTTCATGTCCCCGGGATGGTGGAAATTGCTGAATCTCGTCGGAAGTGTAAATTTCATTCTGGTATTTTTCCTTCCCCCCTCCCCTCCCGAGCTAGCCACTCCCGGAAAGAGACCGACCAAACGAAAGATATTGACTTGTAGGTGACAAAACGTGTTTTTTTTTTTGCTTCCAGTGCAACATTTCATCATAAAAAAATGATATTAGCTCTCGTTAATTTAGGCTTAGCTTATGGTTCCGGTCCCTTCCCCCAGTGTTGCCGGATTTCGTGCCTTAGATATGTCAGATTCATGACTTCTTTGGCCTTGGTGTCGATGTCTGGATCTTTTGTTCTTTTCATGTATGTGATAATTTTGTGTCGAGTTCAATTAGATGAGTTGAGATTGAAACCGTGGCTAGCTGCGGCCGATAGATTTGGTGGAATGGGGAACATAGGGTAGCATAGGAATCACCAGTGATCGTACACTTGTCTGGCATGAACTCAAGAAGCAGCAGTCCCTCGCTGTCCCAAAACACAGTGGCGCATTAGATTTATTTTCCTGAGTCTGTGTCATGGATTTGACGAAAGTCGAACATCGTTCAGTGATGAAATTCCACACCAAAGAAGAGAAAGTACCTAAGGAGTTCCCTTCTCTTTTTAACTTCCTTTAGCCTTGCCCCATACCTGCAAGCTATCTCTAATAATTTGGACTCTCATCTCTAAGTCCCACGCTTCTAGGTCCAAAGTGTGGGCAGTTTCTGTTGCCCTTGGGTAGTTTCAGGCAATTTCGGCACCAAATAACTTCTCTTACTCTATCTGTGCACCTTGGTTGGGGGCAATTTACTGCCCAGCCAGGTAACTGCCTATTTAGCCAATATCTTTCTTTAATATTAGGTCCATTACTATGTATATATATATATAAAATAACGCAAAAGAGCGCCACACCCCTAAACTACCCACATTGCTTTAAGTTGTGAAGCAGCGCGCGAGAAGCTCGAGCACAGCGGACAACACAACTAAATGTAGCAGAAAAGTAATGTGATCTGGCTAATCAAGCCAACCGACTCCAAAAAGTAATACAAAGGAATTTTAAAAGAGAAGAATTAAAGGAAAGGAGCCTTTGAGATCAGAAAGAATAGCAGGATCCTCATCATGGGCACGGTCCTTCTCAAATCTTCAGTGTAGTTGTATCTTTTTCGGAAATCCCCCCGGAGCCAAAATAGGCAAGAAGAAAATGAAAGAGTTTAGCTGAAAGGTTGTTGATTGAAGTAAAACCACAGCTTAAGTCATTTTCGAAATCACCACAAATGCACACTCTATTAGCTAGGGGAAAGCTCATGCTCAAGAAGGCAACCAGCGCAAAGTGTCCCGTGAAAAAGGAATCGACGATGACAGCTATGAAGAAATTTCGACTCTAACGGGATCCGTGCCCGAAAGTTCTATCCACAATCCATGGCCAGATAAGGAAAGAGTGGAGATAGGAAAATTTACAATAAAACTGGGAGAATTCGCTGGGCAAATTGAATCATGTGTCGCCATCTGTCGAATCCAAGTGTTGCTCTGGCTCTGGATTTCGGGCGATTTCCCTATTCTAACGAGGAGATGCCACACTACTCAGATTTTTTCGTGGGAGAATAGTTTTTTCTGCCAAAATTTAAATTTCCTGCTTAACTTCCCGGCAAATTGGATTGAAAAAATGTTAAATTCCCTTTTATATTTAAAATCAAAAGTCGGCGCTTCTATCTCAGGCTGTAGGAGGGATGAAATGAATGGAGTGGGTCGGGTATCGGTCGGGTACCCTTTTGTGCACTTGAGCATTTTCCAACACGAAAATGGATTCATTGTCCGATCCATTACGACACTAAGTTGATCCAAAAACTCGCAACACGTGTGACACCTGCCTCCATTGTCCGGTGGTACAAAAGTCCATGAGAAGGGGATATTGTAGCCACAACAGGGAAATTCGCCCCTCTTTGCGTGTCCATTTGAAACACACCTCTCTCGCCGATGACAGACCACCCCATCGTCCTTGACGGCCGGAGATTCATGCCAGTCTCGTCGATGAAAACCAGTTCTTCGTTCTGGAAGTCTGCTATAAATTCCGAAACGTACTCTTGACGTGCGTGTAATGTACGATCGGAGTCGGTGGCGATCGTCTGCTTCCGAATTTGCTCGGAGATACAGACCAAGCTTCCCCAAGTAGCAAGGGATCATCTCTGAGACATCCCATTTGGATCCTACGTGGGACAAAATGACATCCCATGGATGCAATAATGAAATCGTCCCGGGATATGGAAATTCCTGGAGCATTCAGAGGATATTCCGTGAGGTTAGAAATACTCTCGTCCCATCCACATTCCACAACGGACGTCCTATGCACACACTAAGGATGTTGCCTATGGGACGAGAGTATTTCTAACCTTACGGGATATCCTCTGAATGCTCCAGGGATTTCCATATCCCGGGACGATTTCATTATGACATCCATGGGATGTCATTTTATCCCACGTGGGATCCAAATGGGATGTCCCAGGGATGATCCCTTGCTACCTGGGTCTTTTTCATTGCGACTCTGATGGTTCCGTCAGACACCTGGGGCGCACCTGGAAGCTTCATTCGTTTCTTGGATGGATGACACGGGTTCATTTCGAATGAGAATCTGGATTTCTCAGAATCTGAATTCTCATCATCTACGCAGCTAACGCTCCCGTTGTTTCCTAAGGAAACTAACGAATAATAATCGAACGCTAATATGATGGAAACAGGGAATGGGAGACGACGAGCGACTCACATCGCATTTCCTCAGAATCTCCTGTTCGTTGGGACTTTCGCCACCACTCTTGGGCTGTTGACTTCTTTACTTGCAAAAGTTGATGAACCTGACGAACTGACAAAACGAAACTTCCATTCAGTCTTGAGCTAATGGGCAAGCTCCTCTTCGCATCTCTCTCTCGCAGTTGCGCCATCGTCAAGGAATCGAGAATGGAATCGAAACTGGCATGTGCTTTCAGAGGCCAGACAAAAGACAAACCGAACGCTCCTAGACGGGTCCGAAGGTCGACCGCCGAAGCTATTCTGCTCTCCCTCGGCTCATCGGGTGGCCCGTGCACTCTCCCTATTTCCATCATTTCCACAGCGGGAGCATGCTACTAGCGTGCGCCAAGGTTAGGTCGCCCCAGGCGATCCACTGGAATTCATTCTGCTTCAAAGCGATGCATACACTTATTTATGGCACTTTCCCGAAAGACCCGAAAGGTTTGTTCCTGTAAAATTTATGCAGCTCACGACCTGATACTTTTTCTGTTTCCACAGAAACCAAATCCCATCTCGTCGGACCCGATCATCTTCTTTACATTTTACATATTAATCCAGAATGTTTTTATATTTCACTTTCTTTAAAGGAATTTTCAGTTAAAGTATTAAAAAGTCTAAATATGAAACACGAAAATGAAAAACATGATTGTTTTTGAAACCACGTCAAGGGGATCAAAATTTCACCATGTTTACAAACAGTGTACCCGCTCTTTCAAAATTCATAAAGTGTATTTTTCAGAATTTCATGTCTAACCGGTTAAATTCGTAATATCCATTCAGATGTCGGTTTGGATTGACACCATGTGTTTTGAATGTGAATGTGAGGTCGTGTTCTTCTTCGAATTCTAGGATGGGGAATGTGAAGCGGGGAGACGAGTAACTTGCAGAGTTGGTCCTTTCGTAACCCCGAAGGCACAAAACAGTGTAAGAAACATCGGGATCAGGCTCCTCTGCATATTCAATAATACGTCCGCAAGTTCGTGAAATGAGATCTAATTTTCATGGGGTGTTCGATGCAGGAAGGAAGGAGCTCCGGTGTTATTTCATGCCGTGGGAGTATGCAGTCCTAATAATTTAAGATTAATATGCAACACCAAATGCAAGAGTCACTCTCCCTTCCATTCCTTCATCAAGTCTTCCGCGTGTTTCCGGTAGTACATAAAGCTGTCCCGGCAGGCCTTCGGGAGGACGAGGTTGAGGACACGCGCAGGGACGAAAGCCAGATGGACGTCCACGTGATAGACCCACCGGACGAGGGTTTTCTCGGGATCGCCAGGCAGCGGAGAATAAACGAATCCTTGAGGGTAGAACGTCGCCCTGTAGGACAAGGAATCCGGTCATTTCGTGATTTCCTGGTTTTCAGTGGATTTGGAATGATAAATTTGCACCATCTATTGAATGAAGGTACGGGATAGGCATGCAGTAAAAATAGATGCAAAACCCTTTGGTAGCATGTTCAATTCGGAAACTATGAGGAAGATGCAAAAAACACGTGCTTGGGGAATGCTAGAGACGGAAGTAGGACACTTGAATGATATTTTACTGCAGATTCAGCAAAGAGACATTTATGATCGCGGACTCCCAACGTCTCAATAGCCATTTCCTATAAACAGCAATAATTTTCATTTGCGAAACTCAAAGACTCAATTTTTCCCTTGTTGATTCCTGTAGGCATCAATGGTTGCGAGTGGAAGTTCAATAATGAAAAGTTAATAGCGGCTAATTTTAAGCAGATCCACTTCATTGAAACCAATTCATCTGTGGCTTCCCCATGCAGCAAACATCTGTAATCTTAGGAATTGCAGGTGGCTCAGGATCCCTAAACCTTGCGCTTCCTGTTCTCAAAAATAAGCCAAAAGGGATCAGGGTAAATTTTTGAAGGGGTAAATGATAAAAAAATTGATAGATGTCGTTATAACGCAATCTCAAAGAGTTACTCAGATGTTTATCCTCTCCCCTGAATTTAAAATATATGCATATAGTTTTTTTTATCTGGAGGGGTTGATATTCAACCCTCTGAATGGGGTATAAAAACGAGTGGTTTACGCACAAGAAAATGAATAAATATGTTATTCTCTGGGGCTCCATATTTATCCCCAATAAGATAGTTAATAATAGGAATCGATGCTACCAAACACGCCTCAGGTGTTTACTTTTTCAGAGTTAAACAGTAGAGCATTTATAGTTGAGAGTGAAACACCATTTGCATGATTTTTTGCATCATGTAAAGTTCCACTTTAGCCCACTAGATGGAGTTATGGAGCTACCGTCTATCCCACAGTTCATAGAATCCTCCTTCCCTCTTTCCAAGAAATCTCCCTCACAGGCACGTTATGTCACCTCGTCCTGTGTCACGCCTTGCCTCATCATAGGTAGAAATAAATGCGGACAGCACCTCATTTATGATTTCCATGTTCGAGACAGATTCCAGGATCTTAGACCAAAATAAGCTTGCTTTCCCAAACAGGAGTCATTACACAAAAAAATGAGCTTTCCTATTCGAGTACTATTCCAAAACTATTACCATGGAAAATTCAAATCTTATAAAGACAATGATTCTCACATTGATTATTCCCTAAGTTGTTTTACGCAAAGATTGGCTGATGATATTGGAGTATGACATTAAGCTCACACAATGGGGTTAAATGAAATCGTCTCGCCTTCATGATCACATGTGTACTAGGAAGGTAACATATTAACCCAGGTCCATTTATTATAACTTAATAAAAGGAAGTTTTAATTTACCTATCAAAAAGGGTAGATGTGTCACCTGCGAAGGATAAATGAGTACATCAACTTTGTGGAAAATCTTCTATTTTTGATTTAGTAAAAACGATTGATAAGTAAGACTAAAAAAGGGTTACTCGATACTTATATTCCTCTTTAGGATAGAGGAACACTATAGAGTCCACGTTGATTTCCCGGGAAATGATCACGATTTCATTAATAATAGTTGTGATGATGATTTATTCTTTTCCTAGGATTCGTGCAGTGAATGGGATTTCACTTCACTTGGAGACAAATGAGGGGCTTTGCCGTTAACTGGTTTCAGTTTGCAGACAAAAATCTAAAGGTGCTTCGATAAATTTTGATGTAAGACAGCCCGTGCCTCATTACGTCCCCCTTCCCAGGTCTCGCTACGATGGAATCGAACTGTAACGGACCTGACATATCGATTGGACGGAGGCAATGCCGGCCAGGAGGTGCTGGAGAAGGCGAGGTAGGTCGCATCGCCTTCCTTGTTCCAATACGCGATGGTCACGGCGTCCCTGCTCCAGATCAGGCCGTTCCCGATCGGGGTAGTCACTTGGTAAGTCAAGCGACATCTCGACGTGATATCCTGAAGAAGAAAACATTTCTAAAAGCCTGCTCGGGTCTATAAAAGGATGGAAACGATATATGAAGTTATTCTTGTCTCACAAGGACGACTTCCGTGTGAAGGAAGTTGGGATTCCACTTTGGGTAATCTGGCACATGATCCCAGTCTTCCCGGAAAACCACTTCAGCTGAGACGTTCACCACCAACTACAATGCATAAAGTCATGTCCACATGCAACCCAGCACACACAGCAACATGAGCGTGCAGGACGTTTCGTTTGACCCTGGCAACGTTTGAGTATTAATTCGCTACATGAAGTTCCAAGCACTCAAGTCATCGTCTGCTTGCAACTGCCGTCGAACTCCATCATCGTTCGTATATATAGATGATAAAAAATGCTAAGACATTTACGAAGAGCATTGAAACCTAAACCGTGGAGAAACTAAGGGAGAGGTTGGAGAAGGCGTTCGAATTTCTCAATGCATTCGTCTAAAACCTTGGGAAACTCAGAGAAGTAATTGAAATTCTTCCTTATTTGAGCAGCAATTGTGGAGTTATCGTCACTAATATCTTCATTCTAGGAAACATTTTATTGTCCTGATGCATTTAGGAATCGCCATAATGAACGTATCTGTGGCACATCTCGCTGGTTCCCATCTTTATCTTCGGAGAGTCTGTGGAGTACGGCAACCTTAAATGTTTCCTTGTCGCATTTCTTTGGTCAACTGTCCATTTTTTTTCCCCAAATATGAGCTGTCCATTTTTGCCTGAAAGCTCTGCGATCGATTCTCGACCTCAAGGTAGGAATGCAATTTCATATTCGTAAATCTACATCTGAATTTCGCAATGCAGGATTGGATTTCATGAAATGCAGACTTCTCCTGCAAAGTGGCGATTTTACCCTAATCAGGAAAAAGTTTTTCCAAGAACCTGATGAACAGAACAGGCCAGAGACATTTATTCTCCAGACAGGAATTGGAACGAACGGCATTGGAAGAAGGGAAATTTATTGCGAGGCTGTTTAGATCTTCAGTGTCCTTCAGAATGGACGCCCGACCCAAAGGCGAAAGGAGGAGAGCAAGGAAAACATCAATAGAACAAAGTTTACATTTTACGCTGGAGCGGGATTTCTCACTTTCTGATGACGACCGATCCCACATTAGCGGGCTTGTGCAGACATCGTTTCTTCCTCTCCTGCGCACTTTTAATGATGAAGATTCAGATCCATGAGAATAGCCAAGTACGCTTCATTTCTTACGGATATTACTTTCTTAAAACACCACTTTCAAATTTGATGCTCTCTCTTGGTGACCTTGTAGGCTGGGATTTATGGAAGATCCCCTCCGATTGTCACACTCTTTCTAAGCTGAACGTGGTATGGAGATTTCTCACCTCAAGGTAAAACATGGTGATGCCACTTTCTCTGTTGTAAGCACTTGCGATTTTGATGACGTCATCGGACATCGTAGTCATTGGCTCCCAGGCAGTCCTGTCCAGAATCAGCTTGAATGATTCGTAAGTCTTTTTCCCTTGCTCAAAGTACGGCTGCAATTCGGTCTGGGAAAGGATTTGATTATTGTTAATTCGAGTGTGTCCATAATCATAGACTGCTTCATTTTTGAAGCGAAACTGGACCGATTCATACGGGAATGGGTTCATCTTCGAGCCGCAGCTGACTTCTGGATAAGTTATAGGATGCATCGTTGGTCCGGTGAAGTAGGAGGCTCTCTGATCAGTAAGGCATCCAAATGCAAAGAAAAGGGTTTATAAGCATCTGAAGAGCGTAAGGATTTGATTGGAATTCATTAAGTGGTTCTTGAGAAAAGGAAATGTATCAAAAGAGGGCTATAAAAACATGTCATGTGCTGTTTAACATTTTTTGGTGACATTTGCAGAAATCGTCGAAGTGTCTTTCAATCAGTTTTGGATTGCCCAAGAGCTTTGCTTTCTCCGAAAATCATGAGTGTCTAGAATGTGACTCATTGGTTTATATTTTTCCATGTTATAAGATCGGCAGAAAAATGATAAGTCATCAATTATGGCAGTTGAATATATCGGTCACATTTGGAGATTCATGAAGAAATTTTGATTTCTCTCGAATTCCGGAAATAGTAATTCAAAATAAGTTCCTCCAGAGCAGAGGAAATTTTTTTCAGATAGGTGATTCGCACATTCCCTAGGTCAAGTTAATGATAATGAAGTTGCAATTTTCTTTAGAAACAATGCACTGCAATTTTCGCAATGTCCATGATTAGCCGCCCCTTTCGCCTACTTGGCTCCTCTCCAAGAGCTCAAGGAAAGGGAAGCACCTCAAGGTTCAGGAATTCTTATGGTCAGAGTCACGAGTTTCCAAAAGTGAAGCGGAAAAGTTGATCCAGCGGTATGGTTTAAGTTAACAGAGATGCTATTCGGGAATTCATACTACTTGGGATCTCATCGCGTTTTCATGGGCTCTCCAGTGACAATTCAGTTTCAAGTTTCAAAATGCAGTTTCAGAAAAACTCCTCGTTCTCTATCCCTGAAGTTTAAATCTTTCGATTTAATCTCATTGGAGTAGTTTCTAATAATGATTGAATGCCTGTTACTAGTTTTATTTTTATAATGTCGCCCAATTTTAGGAGGAATATAACGACGTCATGCTGGACTCTACCTTATAAATAGGTACACTTTTAAAAATCATGTTCTGACATGCAACGAGAGAAAATGCAGCAGGAAAATAAGAAGACCTACACGACCGACTCAGACTTACGCTAAAAATAGCATTTATAAATATGGAATCTACATTGCCATGCGAATACTATATTTACGACTGGTCCTAGAAATCAAGGAAAGAGATTTCGACTTCCAGCTTGGCTTTTCAGGAAATTATCAGCTATACCAAGAGCTGAACAGTTATTGATAACAATGTTTCTACTGCGCTCTTCATCCAGTATTTGAGATATGATGTGATTCGTGTGAAATTGCCTTCTCTTCGTAGTTTCTATGGTTCCTTAGGGTTGGACGGTATATCCTGAACATGTTTTAGGTTAAAGCTTTGTCTAAAACTTGCAGATAGTTAATTTAAGAAATACGTTCCTATAATCTCTATAATAACACATGCTGTCGAAAAACTTCTGAACCTTCTAAGCCATTTTTTGCTTAACACCTATTATAAAACATTTCAACTTGATAAGTATATCGATAGAGTCTCCGCAATATGCCATCAGAAGCACATTCGGAGCAATAAAATCCGTGATGGCACGCTTCCCATCATCATGCCATCACAACACTTACCACTGCCAGGGTTGGTCACCTCTGCGACTTTCTCATAGAGGAGGAACTGGAGGGAGAAGCATAAGCTCCGAGAGAGGAGGTCTGTGATGAGCCCACGTCCCATTCTTAGTTGAATACTGGAGGGTTCCAAGCATTTGTCCGGCTGCGCGCCATTTAGTACCGGATGTTCCCTTTGGATGACTAAGCTTCGAGCGATAAATGATTAGACTACCTTTTGAAGCAGGAAGAGGGAAATCACAGAGGGCTTATGCTTCTGTCATCATTGGAAATATCCAACAGCAACGGTTCTTCTCTGAATTCCGACTGATTCCGACTGTTTCTCTCTCGAGTCTGATCATGGAATTGCATGTCAGCGAACTTGCAAAAGCCAGCTCGTTCTTCACAGGGGATGATTGTCCCATTCTCATCGCCAGTTAAGTAACATGCTACCCATTCCTGTCATTCCTTGCCCTTGCCCTAACATTCTCAGGATGGAAATATTGTGCAATGTTCCATGGTGCCAGCGCATGGAGATTTCCTCATTATATTGCGGTGTGCATACGATGACCGGAATGGGTCGGTATCGGAAGAATGAGATTTTTAGAGACGAACAAACGAGACGCAGAGAGCACGCCGAATCGAAAGAGAATTGGCGAAGAATTGCAATGCAGACTCGTTGGAACATTGGAAGGTTGGAAGATCGATAGACTCGGAAGAACGAATGCCATGGGCAAAGCTGGTTTACTCTGCCAGACTTCCCCTTCTCTGCAAAGTTCGGTATGGGTCTAAGATACGAGTTCCGAGGCAATTACAAGGCAAGGAAATGCAGGAATTCAATGGATATATGTTCAAGAGGAACGAGTTGAGATGGATCGATTTATGTTGAAAATCCGAATGATAACATTTCCTTGCATTCGTGCCTTTGGAAGACGTCAGCAAGGTGTTCAATAAATCCCCCGGAATCTGGCTTGAAAGCGCTGGTCCATTTACATGTTTCCGAAGGCCCAGAACTTCTCCGATCCATGAACCTGTGGTATGGAATGTTCGCCTGCGCACTCGGCTGGGGGACCCACGTTCAGCAACTTCAACTGATGCACGCGCGGAGGAATGTCGTGGCTTGTTTGCCGATCATATTAACATTTTCTGCTTCATCCAGCGGTTTCGAACAAGCAGTGACGAAACGAAAGATCGTGTATCTTGAAGATGGAAACATCATTGACCGCTCGGTGCACAGTGGTTCAGAATTCGTCAAAACCTGACCAAAAGTGGAAAAATGAAGTTTTAATAATTGGTAAAAAAAATCTTATTTTAAATCTGTGGTGTCCATGTATCACTAAAGCAACAAATGTCTGAGTTTCTCCCTCCCCAATTGACGGAGTAATTACCTAAAGCGTTGGAAACTTCACAACAGGCATAGATATAATCGTCAGTTTCCTGGTCATGGCTGTTTTGAAATAAAATAGCCACTTCATAGGAAGAAAATGAAATTTTCTCTGAAGGAAGGTGATTATAAGTGACTTCTTTTCCATTAGTTGCTAGCCTTGTGAAAAAATCAGATTTGCCAATAAATTGGGCCATCATGAAACTCTTTTTTTTTTAACTTCAACTTTTTTTTCGCAGACCTGGGAACTTGTTCCATGGAAAATTGTGTGCCAATAGATACCAAGTATTTGCTTTCCTAAAATTAGTCTCAAATATGATTGTCATCCAGTCATGATAATTCTAGCTGCCCGGTTTTGCCCGGGTGGTCAGAATGGCTAATATATTGCCATTTGCAACGTTGCTTTGTATGAAGACATTTCGCCAATATAAACCAATTTATGGACAAATCTTATTCTTGAAAAGGCTAGCAACTAAATAGAAAAGAAGTAACCGATCATCACCTTTCGTCAGAGTAAATTTCATTTTCTTACTATGAATAAGTTATTTTATTTCCAAACAGCCATTACCAGAAAACGGACAACTACAAAACGACACCTATGCCTGTCGTGAAGCTTCCAGCACTTTAAGTAATTACTCCATCAATTGGGGAGGGAGAAACGCAAAAATTTTGTTTTTTAGTGATACTGGAACATCTCTGATTTATGTTAATGATATATTTTTCACAATCATTAAAACTTCATTTTTCCACTTTTGGTCAGGTTTAGACGAACTCTGTACCTTCGAGATTGATTTTGACATTACTACGAGTCACCCATTCGGTATTTGTTGCCTTTCCGTGGGAAATTCGGCCTTTGGTCATCATCAGATGCAATCTGCATTAAGTTATTTCACCGTTTTCTGACCTTTTCTGACCTTTAGATGCGATTCCGACCGGAATATCCGTTATTGTCAGAACCTAATTAATTGATTCACAAGAGGTTATAACCTCTTTAATGTGAGCCTTACCGAGCCCAAATTCAGCGACGCTGAATTTTAAAACGGCCACAAGTTATGTTCATAAGAGTAATAATAAGGCTCAAAAAGAAAAAAAACGTGAATGAAGAAATACGAGAACGCGCAGAATAGGTGGCAGAGTAGAATAATTGAAGAATAAACTTCCATTTCTGCATTTAAAAAATTTTAAAAATTCACCGATTCACCTCACTGCAATCGAGGGATAGAAGTGCCGCACCTGGTTAATATGCCCAAGGCACGTTCAGTTGCGATACACCGTGTTGACTTTTTTCATGAGGATATTGATGGATTTATCGGTGAGGTAAAAATAATAATCTCGTTTGCTGATCAAATATAGTTTCCCTGAATTTTTTCCCATGTGCCAGAGGGTCTACTGAAGGGTATTAAAATGGAGGAGATCAATCAATTTATCAATTTTCATTTCTCTCAGAAGTCGATCTCCGAGGAGCTCGTTCGGAGAAGGTCAGTAGGACTCTATCCTCTCGGATGAGAAAATTTAAATCTGGAATCCCAATTCACAAGGGATTCCCATAAATGTTCAACCCCCCTTGACTGTCGAAGCTAACTTCAATTTCAATCTCTGTCAAAAGCGTACACGCTTCGACAGTCAGTGGAAAACTGAGACATAGCGGCGAACACCAAAACTCGATTTATAAGACAATGAATTCGAAGTGAAACATAAAATTAGTTTTTTTTTTACGGTTTTTTTTGTGTTTTCATCACCGATTTTGGCGGACATCACCCAAAGTTCGTCGGATAGGAGAGCGACCCTCCTTCCATTGGAAAACGACCCTTCCTTCATGGGAGAACGAACCCACCATTGCTCATCAATTGCTCTCAGAGCAAGACGCGTTCCCGAGGCTAATCCAGACCGAACCGACGACCGACTGGTCCGTCCCGAGCCGCAGTCCACTTGGGCCCCAGAAGCCCCGCTGCTGAGTCAGCCAAAGGAAGGCCCGCATCGCGCTGCGTCATCTTCTTCACTTTGACCTATTCCACTAAACTCCATCGGGAAGTTCCTGCCTGACTCAGCACTAACGAACTTTTCGAAGCTTCTCTTCACCACTGAATCCTATTCCCAGTAAAAAAAATTTCGTCAGTTTATCTTCGGGTCGTTGCTGGGGGAATTGGCCCATTTTCGGCGAACGATTGGCAGGCCAACTCACAATTGTGAGTCACTTGTGAGTCACTTGTGAGTCACTTGTGAGTTGGCTGACCAATCATTCTCCGAAGATAGGCCAATGTGGCTGCTAAGTTTCCCAAAACCGGCGTGAGATGGAGTCAAAGTGGTCGTAGTGAGGAGTCACTTCCCGGATACTACTGAGATGAGTCCCCTGTCCCTTTGACATGGTTCCCTATGGTTTCCCACATAGATCTCAGAGGAAGACAATCGAATCCCTTTTAACATTTCTCTGAAGATGTAGCCTTGGAATATACCAGGAACTTAGGGCCCGGATGTCCGTGGGAGGATCCTTATCCTTTACTGCTCAATTACGTGTAAGGAGCGTCTAACCTTCTGAAGGAGAACCTTTGCCTCCCACGTGATTCCGCTACTGGGTGTCTCAGCATGCTTGTTGTTTGTTGTTGCTTGTGAAATTCTTGGCTGCTGAAGTGTACCGGTGTGAGTTACTCGATTAAGGCCCTGCTCCTTCATCTCTACCAGATGAAGGAGTGTTAAGAAGTCAAAAGATGCAATCTCATCATTCTAGGATACATGAAACTGGAGATGCAATTTTTTGTGTTTTTTTTCCTACACCTTTTCAGCATTGCGAAAAGTCAATGAGCCAAAGTTGGGCCAATGAATGGCCAACAGGACATCCCCTATTATAAGCCGGCTTAAACCAACCGTGAGCCAACCATATAGCAATAATGGCCCAACTACGGCTCATATGCGCGTCGGCGAGAAGCCATCGAGGGCCAGACGAAAAATTGCTGATTCGGTTTACGAGAGCTTATTGAGCTCTCTCTGCGAAGAATCATCCGACATCCTTGAGGCTCTTGTCGATTTCATGGTACACCACTCAAAGTTTTTATTCCAATTTCCCTATTACCACTCAGTTCCTTCATTGAGTTTTTATTTCATTGGAAATATATCCGTAAATTAAAATGGCGAAAATGGAGGGAGAGAACAAACGTGGATGTTTTCTTCTCCAACCCGAGTAGATGATTCATCCAAAAATAAATGCCATAACTTCCGGGCTTTATCTTCGAAGATTCTGCCTGGAAAAAAAAAATTCCTCTCTTCGATACGGTTGCAGGCGAATTCCTTTCTCAAGAAAAGAAGCGTGTATTGTGCCTTCTCTTCTTTTTAACAAATTTATTTCGTAAACTAATTTAAATACTCTCTTCGAATGTTGAGCAACTTATTGGAATGTTTTCTACAAATGTGCAAACTCTTATAATTAAAAACGACGTTTTTATGTCGTTTCAGGTCAAAGGTCATGGACACTGTTTAGATGAAATCGGACTCACTCGACAGGAAAAGTGAAAAACAATCCATCCCTTACAAAGTCCATCTCGGAGCTAGGAAATGAGACATTAAGCATTTATTTTCCATGAATAATTCTCGAGAAAGGTCTAAACATTGCGAAGGTTGGAATCGCCTTTAATTCCGTCCCCCTTCACCCCCCCTTCCTCCCGAAGGCCTGCCGGGACAACTTCGTTCATTTCATTGTCCCCCCCCCCCCCCCCCCCCCCCCCCCCCCCCCAACATGCTCAAAAGCTCATGAAATAAGATCGAATGTTGATGAGGTGGACGACGTCCGATGGAAACAGTAATGCTTTCGAGCTGGGAAATGTCCGCGTAAGATCTAACCACCGAAGTTTTCCTCAAACCTAAAATAAATAATAAATACAAGAGTCACACTTTCTCTGATGCCCGCCTCAACCCTTTCGCGTGCTCAATGAAATGAACGAAGTTGTCCCGGCAGGCCTTCGGGAGGATGAGGTCGAGCACCCGCGCAGGGACTAAAGCCAGATGGACGTCCACGTGGTAGACCCACTGGACGAACGTCCTCTCGGGATCACCAGGCAGCGGGGTGTGGGTGAAGCCTTGGGGATAGACCGTCGCCCTGCGGAATGACGATTGCAAGTGTTTCTTCATTGATCTGCTCGTTTCCATTCAGTTCCGGTTAATATTTTTTCGCCGAAAAAATGAAAATACAGAGTTAGAATACCATAAGAAATACTGGGAAAATGCTGCAAAGTATGACGAAAAGTACCTGTAACATGCTAAGTAGCTTAAATTACTCAAATCGGACTGAGTCGAGCTGGACACAAATCCCATGCGCAAAAACTTCCAGACCTCCAGACCTCTCGTGTCCTCTTAGAATGCGAATGATGGGACACGATCCGCGCAGGGTCCGTGCAGCCGCTCACCTGACGTATCGATCGGACGGAGGAAACGCGGGCCAGGTGGAGCTGGCGAAAGCGATGTGCGTGGCGTTGCCCTCATTGCCCCAGTACGTGACGATCACGGCGTCCCTGCTCCAGATCAGGCCGTTCCCCAGCGGCGCCGACACTTGGTACGACAAGCGGCATCTCGGGGTGATGTCCTGGCGAGGGGGTGGGGAGGGGGGGGGGGGGGGGTGGCATCTCGGGGTGATGTCCTGGCGAGGGGGGGGGGGGGGGGGGGGGGTTTTGCCGATTTTCCCGCAGAAATCGCATAGATGCTGGCGTAACTCACGAGGATGACTTCAGTGTGGATGAGGTTGGGATTCCATTTCGGGTAATCTGCCACGTGGTTCCAATCCTCACGGAAGATCACGTCTGCTGGGACGTCCACCACCGACTGCAATGGTGAAGGTTGAGGTCACGTTTTCTCCCCGGGACATGAAGTCAACAGACATTAGAATATTCCCTTTGAAAATTTTGAAATCGACAAGAAATTCGCGACTGCGATAACGAAGTCGAATTCTGCAGAGCAAAGAGCCACGAGTTTCCTTGTCGTCAAATTTGATCAAGTTCGATTTCTGACACCAACCGCAAGAAAAACGTTTCCTGCTGTTCTGGTCGGTCTACGTGTGTTTCCTAGAGGTCATTAGCACTATTTTCCAAAGTTCTTAATAAACAGGGGCGGTTCATCCCCTGGCATGCAGCAATCAACTGAGCGACTCGGAGTTAAGCCCCCCGCAAAAAAAGCCACCCGAGATGGAAATGGAAAAAAAAGCCACCCGGGTTGTAGCAGCATAAATATTAATTTATATATATATATATACATATCCAATGAATAAATGCATTCAATTGCAATGTTGAGACAGGTTAACGCTGGGATGCGGCTGATTATTATCCACGTCCTTAATATTTAAAGTTTTGAATTGCCACCAATTACTCAAGTAATATATTACTTTTAGTTTCCATTTGTTGAGAATGAAGCGATGAAAGATGCAAAGCATCCCTCGTTTGGATGCACCTTCTTTTAATCATCTCGTCGCAATGCTAGAACCTCAGGAGGGTGGTTGGAGATGGGGGTGGGGGCGATGGGTGGAGGTGCAGGTGGATCGAGGAGGGGAACTGATCCTGATCTATTCTGCGCCCTGGGAAAGGGTAGATGGGCTGGATATATAATTTAAAGCGAGAAATCTTAATAGATCAATTGTTAATTGAGGGATAAATTTCCAATAAGTTTTCAGAGAATGGAATCATCTCATCCTGCGTCACAATCAAAAGATTTCCTGGGGGGGGGGGGGGGGGGGGGGGGGGGGGGGGGTAAAATAAATGAAATATTGAAAGTAAATGGATATTTCTCTCTCCGATTGACGTGATTCTCCCTCCAGATTTTCTTCTCATTCAAGCGAAAGCATTTTCCCTTCCCTTCCCATCTCGTGATTCAGCTAATTAAGACAAGCAATCGGAAAGGAGAACATTTCGATGATTAGAGCGAAATGCTAATGAATTTGCGTCTTCCGGTCGAATTGCGCCATGCAATCGCTCGGGGTCCACGAATTCCCGAGGACGATTGTCGGTCATGAAAATCTTGCCGACACGATCAAACTGGTTTGCGACCTGTTGGCTCTACTGGAGACAAAATTCGAATTAACTAAAATTATGGAGCTATTATCTACTCCGTATGTCTTGAGGCGATTGTTCGAGTTCCCTCACGTGGCAAGGTCTGCCTCTAATAATATCGAATGAGCATTAAAGGCCTCATGGAAAGGATTTAAATCACTGCTAGAGGAATAAAACTACGTCCTACAGCATTCAATCCCTCGTATGGGTCCAGTACCCAGCTCATCTGCACGAAGCCGCTTTTCTTTCTCAGAGCTCGTATTTTCGGTCGTAGGATTGCATGGGCCCCAATGAGGTCGGTGATGAGTCCACGTGAGTCCACGTCCTAGTCTCAGGGGAGCACTGACGCCATCCAGGCCTCTCGCTCGTCATCCCGCACTGAATTTCCTTTCCGCGTGACTAAGCCTCGAGCGAGAATCGACGAGACCTCGCGCTGAGGCATGAATCCGGGGTTGCAAAGGGTGAAGGAGGTCGAGGGGAGGCGAGGCATAGGGACAGGAACCACCAGATTCAGTCTCATAGCAAGCATGGTGTCACCCTGTGATTTTCCCTCCAAATACGAATGCTGCACTGTGTCATGCGCCTTCCAGCTGAAGGGCATTTCAACGAACTCTCGTGCAAATCAATGTGCTACCACTTTTGCAGTGATTGCAACGTTGGCGATGAGGAAGACGTGATTAGTAGCTACCATTCTTGATTTCTTTGTATTTACAGAAGTTTCAGACCTCCCAGAGTCCCTGAAAATTTTCTGTAGGAACATGAGTCCTTTCAGTATGGTCAACTAAGAATTTCAGAATATTTGCCTTTGTGAAAATTAAAATGTTGCTGATCCATGCAATGCAATATCTCTAGTTTTTCTTTTGCGAAATCTTGCCTATTTTCATTCGAAAAACGATTGAAATGTATGTAGTTACATGGAAATGACAAAAATCTCACTCATGTTTCAGCGGTCATGACACATCAAAATGAGGGAATGGAATGAGTCATGGAGAATCTTGAAGCCATGGATGACCATCGATAGCCAAGTAGCTCAGGAAAACAGGTCAGTCTTTTCTGCCTGTCTTTTTCTGAGATGAAAGTGATGGTTGATAAATATTAGTCTGAATCAGAAATGTGTCCCATTTGCAGGAACCGAGGCGCACATGGAATCCAATGAGATAGCATCGGAAGGCAATGGGTGATATGGGTGAAGCACCAGAAGCATGGAAGAGATACAAAGAATTCCTGGAGCGACTCTGATGATTGGGGAAATTTATCAACATGACTTCAAGTGTTATTGTTCCTAATTGCCTTTACTCAACCATGAACAATTTGGACTTTTCCTGTTTGTTTCCCCCCCCCCCCTAGTGTAACAGCACCTGCTGCCTTCTTCTCTGTCTCTTTTTTCCTTCTCTTTGTTTCCGCTAATTGCATCGATTGGGTATGGATTTCATCTGATGTGATATTGTTTCTTTTTTTCTGCAGTTGATTAGAAAGTATGAAATTATGATTCCTCTCTCCTTCGTTCTTGCTACTTCAAGACATGGAAGCAGTCCTCCCGCGTTTCTAATGCTCTGCGATGTCTAAATGATGTATGTTACTGTACTTTACTGTACGAATACTCCCATGTGAAATTGGCGCCCGTCAGAGTGTTGGCTTTTGTAAAATTATCAATGAAAGATGAATGAAATGGTTATGAAAAGTCACTTGTCATTGTTATTATGGGAACATGAGAAGTTCCCTCTTAGGAAGGAGGAATATTGAGATATGTTGACAATGATATTAATACGCTGATCCCAGTTGATTGAAGGTCGAAAATCTCTGGATGAAATTTATGAGGAGGCGATTTGAGACCGATTTTTGGAATTTCCAGAGGAGACAGAAGTCCCATTGGAGAACATAACAATTCCTGTATTGATACGGTTTCGGCTGTTCGTTCAAAACGCGCCTGAAGTATGAGGTTTTTTTTTCCCCGCGTCACGGAGGATTTTGGCCATTTCTCCGAAATCCGTCTGGATTTGGGGCAAAGTGCCCGGCTCATGCAGAAGGCTTTCCTCTCCATCCAGCTGGATTTCGGACTATTGCCCGAAAACAAGTTTGAGCAAGGGGACCCCTTCCCCTCATCGCATACAGTCGGAATTCGGACAATTGTCTGAGGTTCGGCTCGAATGGGAACCTCCGCTATTCCAATATTTCGAGGATTCGTCCAAATGGCAATTGAAGAATCTCTCATCAATTTTAGCCGGGATTTGAGACAAAGGCATGAATCCACTTCCTACAGGATTGATCAATGATCGGTTCCACAGCCTAGTAAGGTTCTACGGAGGAAAGATGGCCTTAAATGTCATTAGTGAAAATGATATGAAAAACACGGCCATTTTGTCGCATAACATTGAACCATTTTACACAATACATGGCCACAGAGCAGCACATATCTCGATATGTCTCTTTGGTTGTGCTGGAACAAGCAAATTTTCCTCGCATTTCTATGAATGTCTGCAATAATGGTTACGTTTGGACAGGAAATTTTGATTATTTGGCTGAAAGTTAGGAAGTCATTCCATTTGGAGTGCCTCTCCTTGGCATTTCATCATATGTGTTGGCCAATGCTCACAAATAGTGTACCCGCTTCAACCAAATAACTAAAATGAAACCTCAAAATTAAAATGAAACTCGTTATTGGTTAACCTCCAGTTAACCAGGGCGAACGGGGGATCATTGGAGGGTTCCCGTTCTCGCACGCCTCATCTTCGTCCCGTTCTTCGCTTCGGATGACTCAGCCCCCATGCGATAATTGGTCAGGCTGCTAACAGCTGGAATCGAATACAGACGCAAATGGGTTCGCAAGGGAAAAAGAGATCTCGTTCTTCCCTCCGAAAAGGCATGCTCTGGGAACTGCGCTGAGACTTCTTTTGATTCTTGTATCGAGATGAATGCCTTTCTTCTTTTCCATGACTAAATAAACGCCATGGCATGCTCCATTCCTCATTTCTTTCCCTAAATTATACTCTAGATTGAAGAAAGGAATTCGTTCCTGTAAATGTTGAGAATCTGAAGAGATTCTCCCATTATACGTGGGAACCCTCCAGTCTCCCAAGCGCATACCGACTTCCACTTCCATTCCCTCTGTCATCCTCCTGTAAGCCACCTGTAGTTCTCCCCAGGTGGCTTCCAGTGGACGCTTTGTGAGGATCCTTAGACTCGGGGGATCTCCAAATATTTTACGAGCGAACTACGTAGTGCTCGTTTGTCTGAACCAGCAAAGGAAAAATCCTGAAATGAATTTCCTTAATCGGAAGCATGTCGATGCGTACCAGTTGGGATGAACGCAGCGGCAGCTTTAATCCTTTTTTCAAGTATTGTCGTTCCAACAGCCGCGCATTTTTTCTCCGCCCTTGATTTATGATAAGATGTAACCACTTGGAAACGAGCGTCACCCGTTTGCATTCGTCCCTCCTGCCCTTCCCCTTCAAGGCGTACGTGAGTCGCTGCGTCATGCGGGAGAACGCACCGCAGCTGCCTTCACGAGTGTGCATCCCACGCATGATGAAGAGAATGTCATGAGTGGAGCCGGACCTTCATCAGATCGAGACTCCTGGGGAAAGTGGATGCGTGCAACAGCGTAAAACGCGCGGCGAGAGCGAAGAAAGTGAAAGCGACCCTCGCTCTTGGAGCTCCAAGGCAACCCGGCTCGTCAAAGTTCTCAAATGAATTCAAATAGTTCAAATAATTCAAATACGGCTGCGATAAGAGCCACTCATTGTTGTTCAACTTCATTGTTAATAGTTTTCCATGCAAGAAGGCTGCTGAAGGGCAGAAAATGATGTTTTCAATTGCCATATATATTGCCATATATCCATAC